GAAGACTAGGCACCAGCAAACCGATAGGCTATTCTCGCTGGCGTTCTACAACCTACCTCTGGTGTCCCGACTGCGCCAACTTCGGACGTCTCAGATTGGAAAGCTAGTCTCTGTATCCGGCACAGTCACACGTACCTCCGAGATCCGACCCGAGCTCTCTCTCGGTACTTTCACTTGTGAACTGTGTAAGGCAGTATGTCCCAATGTGGAACAGACTTTTCGCTACACCGAGCCCGCACAATGCCCCAACGACACCTGCGGGAACCGCACCGCATGGCGCCTGGATATCGGCAAGAGTACCTTTGTTGATTGGCAGAAGGTCAAATTGCAGGAGTCGTCCCATGAAATTCCAACTGGCAGCATGCCACGGACAATGGACATTATTTTGCGAGGCGAGATGGTGGATCGTGCTAAGGCTGGTGAGCGGTGCATCTTCACTGGTACACTGATTGTTGTGCCAGATGTGAGCCAGTTGGGATTGCCTGGGGTGCGACCGGAAGCTGTCCGTGATGACGGTGCCTTCCGGGGAAGTGACATTGGTGGCGGCGGTGTGAGTGGTCTGAAAGCTCTTGGTATTAGAGACCTCACCTACCGACTCGCGTTCCTTGCTTGTATGGTGACGCCTGACACAACAACTCCCGGTCAACAGACGAAACAGCAGTTGAATGGCCAGTCGCATAATATCCTGGCTTCGCTCAACCAAATCTCAGATCCTGAGACTGATGAAGATCAGGCGCAGGAGGCTTTGCTTCAAAGTCTGACGCCCTACGAAGTTCAAGACTTGAAGAAACTCGTGCATTCGGAGTATATTTATGCGCGGCTGATCGACTCCATTGCTCCCATGATCTACGGTCACCGGCAAATCAAGAAGGGCATATTGCTACAGCTGATTGGAGGAGTCAGCAAAAATACCGAACAAGAGAATCTACAGCTCCGTGGTGATATCAACATCTGCATTGTTGGTGACCCATCAACCAGCAAAAGTCAATTCCTGAAGTAAGTAATTCAGACCCCCTGTGGTTCCTAGAATGTGACACTGATACATTCTTACCCAGGTATGTGTGTTCTTTACACCCTCGGGCTGTTTATACCAGTGGTAAAGCCTCCTCTGCAGCGGGTTTGACTGCGGCTGTTGTGAAGGATGCTGAGACGGGCGAGTTCACAATCGAAGCGGGAGCTCTGATGTTAGCTGTACGTGATCCATACTATCGCTGTGCCGAGTTATTACAGAACTAACCCATTTTCTGAACAGAATGGAGGGGGTATCTGCTGTATTGACGAATTCGATAAAATGGACCTCAGCGACCAAGTTGCGATCCACGAAGCCATGGAACAACAGACGATTTCGATCGCCAAGGCTGGTATTCATACTACCCTCAACGCCCGTGCGTCGATTCTCGCCGCGGCCAATCCTATCGGTGGCCGTTACAACCCGAAGACTACATTGCGTGGCAACTTGAACTTCAGTGCTCCCATCATGAGCAGATTCGATCTATTCTTCGTGGTCCGAGACGATCCTAATGAAACAGTGGACCGCAACCTTGCGGACCACATTGTCAACGTGCACATGAACCGCGATGAAGCAGTTAACCCGGAGCTTAGCACTGAGCAACTGCTGCGTTACATCCGATTCGCAAGAACATTCAGACCCGTGTTCACCGAGGAGGCCAAGGCTTATTTGGTTGAGAAGTACAAGGAACTTCGTGCCGGCGATGCCCAAGGTGGCATGGGCCGCTCCTCTTATCGTATCACAGTTCGACAGCTTGAGTCTCTCATCCGTCTTTCCGAGGCCGTTGCAAAGGCCAACTGTGTAGAGGAGATTATACCCAGCTTTGTGCGTGAAGCCTACGACCTTCTGCGGCAAAGCATGGTGACTGTTGAGAAGGATGATGTTGAAGTTGATGACGAAGTCAACGCTGCTAGCGGTCACGCTGCCGATGAAGATCATGAGATGGGTGACCGCGATCGCGAAGGCGACAGCCCTATGCGTGATGAAGGCGAGCCGGCACAACAGACCCAGCCGCCTCGCACACGTACCAAGATCACTTATGACAAATACATGAAGATCTTGAACTTGCTTGTACGACGTGTGCGCGACGATGAGTCGATGTCTGGCGAAGGTGTTGAACAGGAAGAACTTCTCGTCTGGTACCTGGAGCAAGTCGAGTCTGAACTGGAAACCGAGGAAGATCTGGAGCAAGAACGCTCCCTGGCTGTCAAGGTTCTGAAGCGGATGGTCAAGGTACGTACTGTGTTGCACTTACCCCCGCTTCATTCTACTGGTCTCATGCTAACTCACCTGAACAGGACAACATTCTTATGCCTATTCGTGGACAAGGTCTGGTCGACCCAGCTGATGAGTCTGCCCAAGTGGAGCGGACTATCTATGTCATGCATCCCAACTGCGCCATCGATGAGGAGTGATTCTGCGCCTGGTGTTATAGGGATAGGGCGAGGTAATAGGAAATGGTGAAGCAGGAGTAACGGTGCCCGGTGCCTTGGTCGTTATGAGTGATGATTTTCTGATCTATTTTTACATGAACTTACTCGCACATTGTCGGTGGAGCGTATGTGATCTTGGACTGTCGAGTCTGGAGTACATGCATGGGTGACAGTTTTGCCTTCATAATCTATGAATATAATAGCTCATGAATTGCCGATACGTCCATTTCATCCTTGAACTTATCTTTTTTCATTGCCACCTCGTTTGATATGATACTTGGCTCGTTTATCGTTACATTATTCATCATCTATACCATTTCTACTTGACCTCACCCTTGCTCCATATATAGAAGCTATCCTTGGAGGTCTCTTCAGCCTTATTCCCCTTCGTCAACTCTTCCCAAGACTTGACTTTGCCCTACCTGGTCAAGCCTTTTCAACTTACCTTGCTTACATCCTACTCTCACCCAGCACTCATTCTGAACAACAAACGCGCGTCTTTTTTGTCAATCAAGTAAAGTCAGCCATTTCCTCGAGCACCTTCATCCTTCCTGACTATCAGACCTCCCTTGGCTTTGCAACTGTCATACTCAATCACTACTCAATCAAGCCTCACCCTTGCTGAATCACCCTCTGCCCTCATCTTGAACTCGTTCTTCGCGCCGTTGGGCCAACATCCTGCCATATAAAACCACCCATCCTCATCCTCTCCTGTTCTTCCATCCTTCTCAGCCAACCTCTTGACATACAAATACCATCCATCCTCTCATCCTCTCTTGTTCTCCCACCCTTCTCAGCCAATTCCCTCACATATAAATACCACTCATCCTCTCATACTCTCCTGTTCTTCCACCCGTCCCAGCCAGTCTCCTGCCATATCAATACTCAGCCACCTTCACATACTCCTACCGTCCTCCTGTTCCTCTCGATCGACTTTCTCATACTTCCCGCACCTTACACCCTATATCCAAGCCGAATTCCCCGTATAGCCAGCTCTCGCTTCCTTACTTCCCTTGAGAGTCCCCTCCCTGCCTTCCTCCATACTCCCGTCAGCCAAACCGCCTGCTTTCACGCTTCCGTCAGCCACCGTCCCTTCTTCCTCAAGTCACCTGATCATCTATACCTTATACTGCCTCACTCGTTCACCTTATCATCTACATATTTTCACGTGACACGAGATATCTCGCGAACCATGTCCACAGGCGCCCCCACAAGCCCGGAGGAGAAGAGGGCCTCTCAGGCGGAGACAGATACAACCAACCAGACCGAGGCTCCGGCGCCCGCGGCGTGCCAGCGAGAACGCGATATCACCCAACTGCCCATTGAGGCGGCAGGTACGACGGCTAATCTCGACGATAGCAGCCATCAGTTTCTCCCAAACCCAGGTAAGCCGGCTTGCTTGCATACGGACTTAATTATTTCACCGTGATACTGACGTTGCAAATCAGACGATCGCTGGATCACAGACGCCGGTCCAGTCATGCAATTGGCTCCTGTCTCTAGCCTTCAGCATCCCAATGGAGAGGATTCGCTCTTTGTTCCGGACTCGAGGAGTTCCGTGGCGTCTCCGTCCCTCCCTCCCGCTGATGTGCAGATTGCGCATCCAGATGAACTCATCTCACCTAGTGTCCAAGGCTCTGATACTTCCATGCAGCCTCCGTCTCTCCCTCCCGCTGATGTGCAGATTGTGCATCCGGATGAATTCATCTCACCTAGTGTCCAAGGCTTTGATACTTCCATGCAGCCTCCGTCTCTCCCTCCCGCTGATGTGCAGATGGTGCATCCGGATGAATTCATCTCACCTAGTGTCCAAGGCTTTGATACTTCCATGCAGCCTCCGTCTCTCCCTCCCGCTGATGTGCAGATGGTGCATCCGGATGAATTCATCTCACCTAGTGTCCAAGGCTTTGATACTTCCATACAGCCTTTGTCTTTACCTCCCGCTGATGTGCCGATGGCAGATGCAATCGCTGCACCTTGTAATCAAGAATTTTTCACTGCCATGCAGTATTCATCATTCCAGCCTGCAGATATGCAGACGATGTATCTGGATGGACCAGATTTGGAACACCCCCACGCGACGGACTTATCGAGCAAGGAAATGGAAGCGATGCTGAAGGGTTTGGACGGTGAACCTGGCCCTACGACTAAAAATCCGCACGAGACACCAGTGCCCATGAATAGAGAGCTTGATGAAGCGGACAAGGATCCTTCGGCAGATGCCATTGCAGATGACGAAAATCCCCGACCATCGCTGGATAATATGCCTGTCGTCTCTTCAGCGTCATCTGGAGCGGTAAATGCTAACCCTCAATCAGTGAACCTGGCTCATGAGGGTGAGGAGGCCGAGTGGACTGATGATGAGCTTGATGCTATTGCCCAACAAGATAACTCGAACGCAAAGTGGGTGACATATGACCTTACTCCAGCAGGGCGGTGACTAATTACTGGTTATAGATTCAAAGCTGCAGAACGCCATTTTCAGAGCATTGAGAATCCTTCTTTGGCAGATCAGGTTCTATTTGAAGCTGCTGTAATGGAGGAAGAAGCGCGTGTAAGAAGAGTCGCCGCGAGACAAGCTTTGCAGGCAGAAAACCAATCGACAATCTCTACTGATGAGGATTCAGGAGCAGTGCTCGACGAGCAAGTGCCTGCTGAAGTCATGGCGCAGCCGTCGGAGAATACCGTGCAGCACGCTCAGAAAGCCACCGAGTCGACTGGCCAGGGCCAACGACCACGGGTGCCACGAAACAGAAAGAACAGAATCTCAGCTGATGAGAAGCGCAAGAGCAAGAAGTATGGCCTCGATTCCGCCTTAAAGCAAACAGGCCAGAAAACAGCAAGAAAGTCTAGAAAACGGAAAAGCGAAGACACTACCCCTGATTCCGAGCCAGTCGATGCTCCCACACGCAAAAAGGCAAAACGGTTTGCTACTCAGGCATCTGAGGAGTTTCTCAGGACTCTTATCACCCCCGATGTGATCGAAGATGCGCACGCTAGTGCTTCTGCACAGGCCATGCCTGAGTTTGGAGAGAGGGACAAAGAGAAGGCGTTCAGACGAATGATAGCTAGTATTCCTGCGGCGGATCTTGCCGAAGCGAAGTCGGACCATAAACGCATAATAATCGCAAGCCGCAAATTCTCGAAAGGTGTGAGAAAGGATGGGACAGGAGGTTATCGCATCCCAGGTATGAGAACAAGCTTGTACCACTATCAATTACTGGGGGCGGCATTCATGCGTGATCGAGAGAACGCATCTTATCCACCCTACGGCGGGTTTCTGAGCGACTTCATGGGCTTGGGTAAGACAATTCAAGCACTAGGTGAGTAAGAATCCTTAGGCCTCCCATCATCATACCATGCTAACAAAAGCCTAGCAAACATCGTCGACGGGCGGCCCTCGGACCCAGACGACCCCATCAAAACCACACTGATTGTTGTTCCATCACATTTGGTATCACATTGGAAAAATCAAATTATCAGACATTGCGATGGTATCAAACTCAAGGAGATCGTCACTTACTGCGCTGGACATAGATTGGATACATTGGACATCGTTGGAAGCCTCCAGGAATACAGTGTCATCATCACCACGTACGACGAGGTGAGAAGGTCATATCCTCAAAGCTGCAAGCCACCAGCGGGGACCGGGACTGAAGATGAAGTAATTGCATGGTGGGATCAACATTACGAAGAGCATCTCGGCCCTCTGCATAAGATAAAGTATCACCGGATTATTCTTGATGAGGGGCACACCATCAGAAACCATGGTTCAGCTGTGTCGATGGCTGTCTGTGCTTTGACTGGCACTTACAAGTGGATCCTGAGTGGCACGCCTATACACAACTATATCGACGAACTATTTCCTCAATTTGACTTCCTGGGGGTACCCGGCACCAAAACCCATGAAAAGTTCCTCAGAGATTACTGCCAGGATGACGATGGCCATATGCGCCTGGTCAATCTCATACGATCATTCATGCTTCGCCGAACTCACGCCAGCCGGCTTTTCTCATTTCCTTTGGTCAAACTACCGGATGTTCGTGATGAAGTCATCAAAGCCGAGTTCTGCGATGCTGAACGTGAGCTTTACAATGCCATTGAAGACCTTTTCATCCAGAACATCAATCAACTTGCGAAAAACAAGCACCCGAAGTTGGCTCAATACCGATGTTTCCTGACAATGATATTGATACTCCGCATGTTCTGCAGTCACCTTCTAACAGCTCATGATGTCATCAAGAAACTACTTTCAGAAAGACTTCTTATGGCGAAACTCTCTAGGATGGCTAATGGGCGAGACGGAGAGGACCCCACGTTCATAATAGTACAAAGGCTGATCGCGATCCGCAGCAACCCAACAGTCATCTGCGACAAACGCGAAGAGCATCTGGTTCACTCTCCAAATCTTCAAGGAGATAAGGAGAAGCTAGTAAGGGACTATTATGACTTGATGCTCCAACTTCATGAAAGTGAGCAATGGGACGAACGTCTTAAGAGGAACAGTTGTCCGTACTGCAAGTGTGTTCCCGTCTATCCCGTCATCACATCATGCCATCATCTCTACTGCGAGGAATGCTACAGTTTTCTCTCTGTCAATGTGAGCACAGATGAGGACAAGCCCATTTGCCGTGTCTGCCAGGGACCTATTCAGGAAGCAGCCTATTGTGACGCAGTCGAAGGCTTCGAGCTTACACGGACACAATCCACCCAGAACCCGCAACAAGAGACAGCGGCTCAAAGCAAGAAAAACAAATCCAAGACGGGCGTGTGGCGAAAGCCTCAGGGTTCATTTCGGCGACCGGCTTACCTGAACTCGGATGAGGAGCCACCTACCGAGCCAGATGCAGACGAGCAAACAGACTGGATAGAAGCATGCGCGAGCCAAATGCCATCGGCCAAACTGACCAAGATCCGAGACTTGGTGGTGAAATGGCTGGCTGAGTCGCCAAGGAACAAGATCGTTATCTTCACTCAATTTCTCGACTTCATCCGCATTTTGGGGAAGATGTGCCAGAGGGAGAAGTGGCCGGCAACTTCGGTAAGGAGTTCATTTCGAACCTGCTTATCCCCCATTCTTCAGAATCACTAACGGGTTATAGTTGACTGGAAAAATGAATCTGGCCAAGCGAGAAGCAAGCATGAAGCAGTTCAGCGACGTGAACGGCAACACGAAGATCATGCTGGCGAGTCTGAAGGCTGGTGGCATAGGGCTGGATCTGACCGCGGCGAACAAGTGCATTCTGGTCGATTTGTGGTGGAACGATGCCGTCCAGGATCAGGTACGGACACCACGCCCGGGTCTATCAGTTCTGCGAGGAAGAGGAATATGGGTTGCTAATTCTATCCCAGGCTTTCTGCCGGGTGTGGCGCATTGGCCAAACTCAAGAGGTGGAATACAAGAAGATCATCGTCAGTGAAACCATCGATGACTATCTTCTCCGGCTTCAATCAGAGAAACTGGCGTCGATCGATCAGACCATCGGCGACGAAAAGCTCAAGAGCCGCGACACAATGGCAGAACTGCTCAACATGTTTGCAGATGTCGAGGTTGATCCAAACGGCGCCTTCAGATTAACTCGCAAACCCAAGAAGTCGAATGCGTCCTCGAAGCCAGACGGCAAGAAAGAGGAGAAGCAGAGCGATCCCCCGGAGTCGGAGTCGGTCCCCGCTGAGTCCTGAATTCGAATCTCCTTCTCTCTTCCGGTCAACACTGATTCCTTACCATATACAAAACGAATCTGGAATTTCTCTTCATTTGTGCTATCTCATTTGTGATACCCTTCAAGTTATCGGTCCTAGATAGTTTTTTTTAGGAGAAACCAGTATATCTAAATAAGTACAAAAACGTCAGGCTATGCTTCTATGTTTCCAAAGGCTTCGAGACCTTCGGACAGCAATAAGTACCCAAACTCTAAACAAACCTTTATCTAAGAGCTATAACCACCGGAAAATAGCTGTTCATAAAGCCAAACTAGCTTGAACTCTTCGACTTGGCTATCGTATCATCGAACCCCTCCGACGAACTGGCCAAGTCACCGTCCGAAACCAAAAAGGAAGGCTGGGATTCGTGGCCAGCAAAGCCAGACCCGTCACGGACAACAACTCCTCCAGATCCGTGCTCCCGTCCCGCCTGAGATCGGTGGCGCCAGGCTCGTACTTAAGGTGGCAGAGGGTCTCGTCGATCAACGTCCCATGTCCCGAGGCGTGCAGGATATTCCCCACCGCCGCATGCACCGCGAGCAGGGCCCTGTTCGGCGCGTCCGCGCCGTGCCGGTCAATCGTCACGGATTCGGGCACAAAGGAGCGCATGAAGAGCTCTCTAAACCTCGGGAGCATCTTGGTCCGGTACCGACCCGTGGTGGTCGTCTCCTCCTCGTCGATGTTCTTCGAGGATGAGTGCAAAGCGACGGAATTCCATATGTACCGCGGTCACCACTATCAGGACATTCTCAGCAGCACGCGAGTCCCCTCGTGATGCTCGTGATGGGAGCACATCATCCTCCCGGATCGCCGGGAAATACCGGCGGAGACACTGCCAGACCGCCGCGTCGTGGTAGCGTTCGTCGTCGTCCACCGGGTATCTCCCCCTCCCTTCTTTTCGCCCGAAGCGGCCAAACGGGAGGATCGGCGTGGCTTCTAACGAGCCGCTCGGTTCGTTGGCGGGCTTGTCCTGGTAATCGCAATTCCAGAGCCCGGTGATGAGGCACCGATGATGGTCGCGCTGGAGGCACGTGCGGCGCAGCTGCTCGTCGGCCAGATCCGTCGTGGAGGTGGAGGAGTCGTCGTCATCGACTCCAGGATGTGGACATGGGGAGGGCGCGGTGCGGCCCCCGGTGGCCAGCATCGGCCGGAGGAGAGCCCTATCGATGTACTGGGCGAGCTGTGAGAGCTCTCCATAGTTCGCGCAACGGGCCACGTCGCGAGCGAGTTGCAGCTGGCCTTCGGCGGGGAGATACCTGAACACGGAGTGGAGGAAGTGGACAGTGTCATCGTGCAGGTTTGATGCGCGATACCGCTCAAGCCGGGCGGTTATCTGGAGCTGGGCAGTGGTGGAGGCGTCGCGTTCTAGACGGCTTGAAGACTGCGAGGGGAGGGGGGGGGGATTCCATGCTGAAGGTCTCGGTAGAGATAGACCGGATGAGAGGTTGATGTGTACTGCAGAGGAGTCCCACGGTTGGTGTAAGAAGAAGGATCGTGCCGAGGTGACTCAGACTAATGGAATGAATCATCAGGTAGGTCTGGTGAAGATTGACAACTAGGGTGGATGAGAGATGAAGTGCGCCGAGTTACGTATGTATTACTAGTATGTAGACTACATCGTAGAGACCCCAGCCCCCACACTTCCGGAACCTCACGCACTTCCTACGTAGAACCTATACATTTGAAGATATCATTTTGTACTATAGAGCCCCTTAAATCATGTCAGGAGATAGAGCTACATTACTATCCAACCTGTAAAGGAAGATACTTTATCAGGTCGATTATACTTTTATACATGCTGCAAAAGGCCTCAGTTGTTTGCTTGCTCATACATATGCTTATGGACTTGATATTGTATGATCTTTGTAAAGGATGTTGGTGTTTGGGTAAGAAACACGTTGTGTAGGAGTCTTGAAGTCACGTATTGAAGTGAAAGGATCACATTAGCTATAGAGCTCTTAAGCTTCAGAATACAATACAAACCAGTCATCAAACAATAACCCCGGTATTCGCCTGCAATCCGAAACAATGCATAGAGAGTACTCAAACATGGAAACATTCAAGCAAAGCGATCAACACCATAGGCATTCCCAGCTTTTCGTCTCGTCCCATTTCATCCTTCATTAGGGCTGGGATCCCGCAGAAACATAAACACTTACACACAGAGTTCATCTACAAGCTCAAGCAAGCAAGCATAGCCTACAGTCTTCTCGTACCACGGCGTACCTTTTTGCCTCCCGCAGCCGCATCATTCTGTGCCTGTGTCTGTTGCAGTATCTGACCCCCCTGCATCTGCTCCTCCCGCTGCCTCGCCACCGACAGCGCAAGCGCAGCCATCTCCGACGCTGTCAGGCTCTGCGAGGACCAGGGTAGCCAGAGGCCACTCGCATCTGGCGTGACCTGATCGTGCTCTGCGAAGTCAAACTCGGGAGGAGGGTTGATAGTAATTTCGTCGACTGGAACCAGTGCAGCGGGATCTGTGCCATTATCCATAGGTAGCTCTTGGCTCGTGTGCACTACCGAGAAAGGAGCCACGAGGTCCGGGACGTGCGTCCACGGTCCGACGGTGGCCTCGTGCTCGTCGAAAAACGCTGCATATGAGGTGCTGGCATCGCCTGTGATGGGGGTGAGGATGGTGGTGAGGTTGGCGTTGGCATCCCAGTTGAAGGCATTTGTGTCCATGGAATGTTGGGTGGTGGGCGTGCTGGAGAGACTGTTCTCGGGGGCGGGGAACATGGTGATGTTCTCGAGATCGAGGTCGAGATCCATCTCCATGTTCATGTCTGCGTCCGTGTCCAGGTTGGTGTTGAGGGTGAGGTCATGGGTCTCGATGATGTGGGTGTTGCCGTTACGGGTGCTGCTGTCTTCGTGTTGATTCTCCCCTCCTCCTCCTTCCTCTGCGGGCTCACCGTTCCAAAGTCCCTCGTCGATATTCTCCTTGTCTTCGTCCCATGGAGCCAAGACGTTCACTCTGATCTCTTGGAATTGAATCTCGATGTCGTCGGGGTCTTCGTGGATGGGGAAACCTGTTCTTGAAAAAGAATGATGGTAATGATGATGATTCTGGTAATCAACCTGGGTCTCTGCTGCTGCGCAAGGCTCAAGATCAGTGGAGAGATAGTTCAGGGGATACTCTGAGCTGAGAATGGGAATGTAAGTACGATACGTGTGTCTCAAGGAGGAGGAGGAGTAGGAGGCCGGTGGTGGGATAGCACAGTCGGCTGTGTCTGCCGTTTCGCCAGCAGCGATTCCCACGGTACCATTCAAAGGTGAAGAAACTGAGAGTGTGCTTGGAAGGCTACTTGGCTCGTCCACTTCATGGACCATGGCCAGGTCAACATCCATGTGCTGTCCTTCCGTTGAGCCGGCGGCCCTTGCGTGCGAGAACTTCATTGGATCGAGGAGAGAGGCAGCACATGCAAAGCTGGGCAGGGTCAAGGCTGCTTCGAGAGCGTCCGTACTGTTCCGCTCGGTCTTCCGCTTCTTGTCGTAATGACGGCGTGGAGGGGGGCTTGCGTTCTTGTTTTCGCAGTTTCTCGGTTTGCCGTCGTCAAGATCCTCCGCCTCTCCGCGCTGCGCGAATGTGCGGGCTTTGACATTGGGAGAAGAGGATCGCTTCGTATTATACGGAGGAGTGATCATTTTGACGCCGTGGTTCGTGGTTGGCCGGGTCTGATTTCGTGAGGTGTCAGTATATTCAGAGTCACGGAAGGTTCAAATTGAGAAAGTATGCGCAGTCAAGGGTGATTTTAATGGACTACCAGGATACAGGTGCAACTCACAGTGTCCATGGTTTCAGTACACTTATACAGATGCTTTCTGCTCGCGTTCTGGTTCTCAAGCAGGCAGACGTCACTCTGTATCATATCCAGCTGTTCGTTCTTGGAGGCCGTCAAGTTCAACTCAGTCCTGGTGAATGCGAATAGAGAAGAGTAACCTCTTCCACCCCAATGTGGATGCAGATCTGAAGATATAGACACTCCAAGATTATGAGACACAAATCCTAGCGTCCCTATTGCGGTGAGAATAGAGGAAATACTGTACTTTGCCGCTCTTCGTCACGCCGGAGAACCAGTCAAACGAGGCTGGCGATAGCGATGAGATAGCGATGACGAATCGTCTCATCCCTGTAGGAACTTAATCAATGAGGCAAGAGCAGAAACTGAGTAAGAAAGCTGCCATCGCTGGCAAAAGGCTTGTTGACGGTGGAGTCAGAGAGGGATTCCAGGGAAGGATGGAGTGGAGAGGAGGGAGAAGGAGGGAATTCGCAACAGGAAAGCGGGCCAATCTATAAGAGGCAAAGCCAAAGCGCGCAGGCTCATGATTCGTTGCATAAACTCCCAATGTCAACTAGATCATTGAGATGTTTCTCTGTTGAATGTGTCCTACTATACCTACACTTTTCCTACAACCGATCTACAATCAAGGAACCACGGTCGAACAATAGAACTTCATTGGAGCCATCACGCCTTCTAGAAATCCAGGCGCATTGGTGATGGCGTAAGGTCATTTATCTGTTAAAGATAAGACCTAGTATCCGCCTATTGCTCTCGATTTTGTCATTTATTTGGATGGGGTTGTCCCGCAAAGGAGAGAATCCAGTGGTGATACAGTCTCTCAGTACTCGTCACAGAGCCGATATCCTGTCAGCATGCCTTCCACACCCACATCTGCCATGCATCCAGCTAGAAGCAAAATAAATAGGTAAGAAACAGATACAGGCAAGGCCCATGTATCAAGATAGCATAGCAAGGGGGGATTGGCGGGCGCCGGCAAGATATGGACGAATATGTGTTCGAGATATCCTCCATTACCTAGAACTAGGACGAGCAATCGGGCACCCCCACTGCCCGATACGCTTATCTGAACTGTCCAGGTCCAATCATGCCACCTCGGACGTCACCGCCAACTTGACCGAACATATCCAACAGGTGTCGAGATGAAGGTGGAGGGCCTTGTGGTGGCGGGCCGCCTTCGAAAGGAGGCTGTCCGCGAGGTCCAAGTCCCATCATAACATCGCCGTTATGTGGCATGGGCGGAAATGAGGGTGGGGGGCCGTTCATGTAACCAGGGGGAGGCATCATCCCGGGAGGCGGAGGAAAGCCGGCCGAACCACCGCCATTGGCGCGCGGGAAAGGCTCACGCTCGTTGAGAGGAGGAGCACTCCCGTGCATTGGCATCATGTTTGCCATGTAAGTCGGGTTTACACCACGTGTAGGAGTTGGGATACCTGGGGGAGGGGCCAGAGGCGCCGGTCCACCAGCAGGCTGCGGGGGCATTTGAGGGCCCGCCCATCCAGGAGGCGGCATATGTTCAAAGCCTGGAGGTCTTTGGATACCCATAGGAGGATGTCCTTGACCGTGAGGAGCCCTGGTTCCACCGGGCGTGATGGGGACTTGGCCACCAGGAGGAAAAGGGATGTCATCAAAGTATCCCATCGGAGGCCCATTCACAGGCCGTCTCCGAAGGTGTTCAGCGTCAGGTCTCTGGATATTCGCAATCGCTGGATCATCCAGAAAGTTGGGGCCCTTTTGAACAGGAGGTATACCAGGGGGAGGAGACAGTACATCCGGCATGTTCATCATACCGGGCACAGGACCGGCACTCTGTGGCTGATTTTGGCCACCCGGAGCATGGCCATTTACAGGAGTGACGCGAACTTGCTGCATCAGTCGCAGAAGGTGCTCTCTGTCACGAGCCTGAGTTTCCGGGGGGTATGGATTTTCCTTGAAAGGAGGGCCAGCGGCTCGAGACGGCGTCTCCAGCATAGCCAGATACTCCTGTCGCTTGATATGTTCCCGAGCAGGCGAAGAGACGGCGCTCTGAACCTGTTCCGCCTGCACCAAGGAGGGAGGCCGATTAGCAGGCATAGTATCATTATGTGGTGTCCCGTTACGCGATTTTCCGCCTCCAAGCATGAGCAGAATACGTTGAAATCCTTCTTGGTCGGCATCAGTGGAACCAGCAGGCGTCAGAGCTGGAGACCTGGTATCAGGTTGAGGTTCTGGGTCTCTCGCAGGGCTTCCTGGCGGAGGACTGAAGAGCCCAGCAAACCGAGACGACTTCATGGCTTTAGCAGCTTGGGCCTCCTTCTTCGGAGTTGCCTCCACTTGCACGGGCGGAGCGCTGACCTCCGGCGCAGGCGCAGGCGTAGGCTTGGATTCGCTCAGCAATCCAAAGAAACGCTCCATGGCTGAGTCCTGCTGGAAGGGGGTGCCATTACTGCTGAAAATCTCCCCATCGGTAGGTCGAGTATCAGGCTGCTGAGGGGGTGCAACTTCAGCGTCGACAGGAATCTCGTGGTTGTCCGTTGCATGAGGCTGAGATCCGGCTTTCATTCGCTCCTTCCAACGCTCAAAATCCTCCTGTGTATGCACTCTCCGATACTCATCCTTATCGTTGGTGTCTAGCCATTCAGGCTCCTGCTCAAGTTTGGCACCGCGGGTCCAATCGCGATCAGCACCGTGTCGATCCCGACGCCATTCTCGGTTACGGACCGGGGTCTTGTCCTCCTCGGCTTCGGGGGTCTCGTGGGGAGCGTTATCCTCTCGGAACCAGCTTCCTTCATGCCTAGCGCGCCCCGGTGTACCGTCCTTGCGAAGGGTGAACCGGGTATCCTTGCTGTCTCTCACAGTCCGATCATGAGTCGGCTCGCGTTGGTCGCGATTATCCCATCGGTCGAACTCTCCATTACGTCTGGGCTTGCGGTCCTGTTCATCCGGGCCAAACGTGCGACGGGGACGTCCATTAATCCAGTCTTCCTTGTCCCCGCGCCGAGCATTGAACGCGCCCATCTTTCCATCGCGTCGATCGAAATCTCTGTCGTTGGGATCCCGTTCCTTGAAGAACTTGTCTCGAAAGGCAAAGCGATCGGTTTTCAGGTCTTCGGAATCGTGCGGCCTGGATGACCTATCCGTGGAATCTATGGATCCCTTACCAGCGATGCGAGAGGCAGAGGCGAAAGCGGTTTTAGGAGGCCCGAGAATGATATCCTCTGCGATGCAGCAGCAAATGCTCGTATTAGCAATGGCCGTGATACATTCCGTCTCGGCTAGTAGACAGTGTGTTTTTTACCTGAGTTCGAGTTCCGGGACATGTGCCGGGTATCGAAGAGGCTCGGCCGTCTAGGTGTAGTCTCATTGGGATTGGTAGATTCTCGCGAATTTGAGGTTTTCCGTTGTGTAGATGGGTCGGGGATGGGGCTAGAAGTAGAATGTGTCAGCTTCATGATGGCCTATGGCCTGGGTCATTTTAAGAGGAGGGGGGGGGATCATCAAGGTGCCATACCCCATCCATTCGTCTACTGGCGGCAGTGTAGGAGGCCGAACAACCAGAGGCGATCCGCGCAGCCATAGCAGCTCATCGATATGATAACGTCGTGCCATGAGGATGGCTAGGGGGAGAGTGTGCGATGCTATCCGGAGGTTGCGTTTACAACGATTTCATTGGTTGTCGGCGGGAGTGATGATGGGTAGGTAGCGATAATGGATAGATATGATAAGAGTGAAGCACGGAGAGGGAAAGAGGTAATTTGAGCGTATGTTAGAGCTGAAGAGGAGCTGGGATTGAATGCGAAAGGTGCGTAGGAAGATCAAACGAGCCAAAAATGGCAGGCCGCTTGCCAGTGGCAAGGCCGAAAGGCGGAGGGAGCTTCGATCGGTCCAAGAGTCAAGCAACTGGTTTGGGGGGGGGGAGGAAGCGGATGAGGGGCACCACAACAGTTGGAAAATTTTCCACGAAGAACTCTCTCGGGAATGATAGTAGGATCAAAGTCAGGGAGTGAATCGGATATAGAAATAAAGCAGGAGGCTGCAGGAACAATGTGAGGGTACGGGGGGACGTATGAACGGGGCGGGCGGATTTGGAGGAGGGAGGAAGAGGAGAAGGAGAGAGGAGAGGCAGTTCAGGTTCAGGTGAAAGGGTAGGTAGCTTACTAGTTAGTGGAAGTTCCAAGTTGCGGTGCGGGCAGGCAAAAGATCGAGGCGAAGTTTACCGCAAGAACGTGTGCATTACCCAATCAGGTAACTCGCCTGACTCCCCCCCCCGGACTCAATCAATCAATCAATAATTATTCCAAACTACGAGTAAACACCACATCCCAAAGTGAAAGTGATAATTTGGCACTTATTCATCTCCAATACAAGCTGAATTAATAAACTGCTCGACTAAAAGTACAATGCTCTTCAATGATTGTGATGATTGTGCTGTTATTCTGATCATTTACTACAATCCTCGTTTGCCTCGGCCCCCTGCACCATGGCGCAGAGCAACTGATTCTCCCTGAACTCCATCCATGAGGGGTAGAAATGATGACATGGTGCAGGGCTAGTTGTCTCTCGTGTCGAGTTTCACCTGTTACCTCAAATCTATCGCCTAGCTCTGACCAAGAGGCGTTGAGCTTACGATCATCTCCAGGTTGCACTAGTATACCACCTCAACCGAGCGCCAATTGGATTCCAACACATGTCTATCGAAGCATATACAACTATTATGATATCCCAACAGGTAGCCCCTTAACCCACAATGTTCTCAACCGCTTTCAGCACGGCACCTCCACTCCATTTTTCCACCCGGTCGCTGTCAGAGGTTCGCTGCAGGCTGTGGGCAATCGCCGTGAACGTGGGCGTCTCTTTAGCCGTCACGGCTGGGATCTGACTCTGAATCCAGCTCATAATGCCCGCCCTCGTAATCAGCGTCGTACTACCCTGCACTTGGGCTGTGCGATAAAGAAGTTGCAGGATCTTTCTCTTGACCGAGTGGGCTGCACTTGGTGCTTCATAATATGAGAGGGATCGTTCAAAGACGTTGGCCCGGCGATAGATATCCATGTCCTGATGTTTTTCGTGAGCGCATGTTCAAGCAAAGGTGAAATCAGCGACGTAACAAACATACCATTTCAGTGCGGAGACCTTTGATGAGTAGATCGAATAGCCACCCAGTCTCTTCAAAGTAGCCATCATCGAGCTCAGGCTCATGCAACAGGATCTTGTCAATCCAGAAAGAGGGGATCTTCTCTAGCTCCCAAGAAGGCGCTTTCTGCAGGAACTTGTTGACCTTCCCGTACAGTTTGTGCATTGGGTTGGTCAGGACATCGAGACAGCTAGAGGCACATTCTCCTACAATCCACGGCACAGGAGACTCGAGACCGATTTGTTTGACGGTTTCGAGAAGCTCACCCGTGAGGATGTAAACGGATCGCCATTCGACATATTTGGAGTCCTATGGTAGCAGCCAATCAGTCAAGGCCTGTAGCATTATCGATACAATGGAAATAGACATACCTTAAGCTTCGCCATAAAGCGAGTCACATTCGCAAATGCCTGTCTGCGGACTTCTTCGTGCGCTGAGCATAGGCAGAGCATCAGTTCCGCAATACGACCCTGTTCGATTGCCACGTCGATTTCATCCTTCTCCCATCGGTAGAGTTCGTTGTGAGTGGTGCCCTCGACGGGCAATGTGCCAAAAATCTCATCCAAGTCCACCTCCGGTTGCCCACTGGTTTCGGTGGCTATTTTATCTTGCGTAGATGGACGGACTTCCCTGGAATTGTCATTTTCCGGCTCTTCGCTCTCTTTCCACGCCTTCTTCAAAGCCGACTTGGATTTCTTGTTCTCGGTCCCATCCATCAACGTGTCTCGAGCGGTTTTCAAGGCTTTGGAGTCTTCCCCAGCGCGTTTCAAGCTCGCGAGCAGCTTGGCAACCCAAGCACTCACGGCGAGTTCCACGGCTTTATCGCCAGCCTTCACCACGAACGGCCACTGCTCGAGAACAGCAGCCAATATGAGACTCACCGGCTTCGACACCTCTGGGAATGAGGTTTCAAGTAGGTCTTGATAATGGACAGGCTTCTTCGCAATACGGCAAACACAATTATCAAAGAAAGACAATTGCTGCTGAAGCTTGTCCAGGTCGGTAGTCTCAAAGCTAGATAAGATGGACGGAAAGATGGAGTCATTCTGAATAATCGAATACTCATTGAGTACCTTTCGGAGTAGACTGTCAATCTCCCTCAAGGACTCTCGTGACGAGGCTTGGACTAGAACTTTCAAGATGGACGTGAAAGCCGAATATTGCATAGATGCTACAGAATTCAGCAATTGACCATGAGTATAAGACTGACTTGACTTACCAGGCTGTTGCCACCAGCGCATTGATGAAGATTGCTGGGTGATCTTGAGCAGATTTTGCAATTCACTCAACAAAAGTTCGGTGTCGTCTGCATCAAGGTTCTGCTCGTCTAGTTTCTTCAGGATGTCAACCATGACCAGTGAAACATCAAATCCTTCTTCCAACGCAGCATCTGGAACGATCTCATAATAGCATGCAAGAAGCTCCGATACCGCCTCTTGTTGCTGTAGATCTTCCTTGGCCGTTCTCTTGAACAAGACGATGACCTCCTTGACAGCCGGGCACCTCCGGCAGAACTCAGCAATCAGTTTGCTGGCCGCCTGCATCCAAAGCGACTGGCTGACGCCATGGTCAGAGTTGAAAATCTTCAAGACAGCCCGCAGTTTGTTGAAGGCGATCGTAAGGATCCTCACGGCGAAGAGTGTGACGATCTCCGTGTTCATGTTCAGGCAGCGACTCAGAATCTTCTGTGAGAGAGGACGAGGGAGAACGTTCTCGATGACCACCGAGACTGGCGGTGGCATCGGAGGTGATTTTTCCTTGTAACCACAATTTGAAGGAACTGGAAGTTGGACAGTGGAGAACAGAAGGGCAGACTCCGCCATCCAGGAGGGAGTAGGTTTGGGGTCCGCGATAAACATGGTCTTCTTAGTGAAAAAGTCAGCTACCAGCTCTGGTGCCGCTTTAAAGATAGCAACGAGAAGCTCGATCTGAAGACTATCTGCATCCGGACGGAGAGCCTGGATCAGATAAGACAGTGTTCCATTCCGCACAGGCACAGTCTTGTTATACTTGTCGAGATAGACTGCTGAATCCAGGCCGAGATCAATCAGGGTATCGTCGTCCGTCGGCAAGGTTTCAGGGTCGCTGCCAGTGGGGTACCAGCCGGTTTCAGGCAGCAGAACGCCAAGATCAGAATTCGTGCAAATGTTCATCAAGATCTTGTGAACCTCATTCGCCGTTGAAACGCCAGTTGGGTTGGGCTCCTCTGACTCGCGGTCATAGCCATACAGGGTCACAAGTCGCTCAAGGTTCCATCGGCTGAAGAACTTCGTCTTGGCGTGGCGAGGGATGGCCGTATCGCGAATGACATCTCTTTCGATGGATTGGAGGATTTCAAGAACAATATCCCGGGGATCTTTCCTGATATATTCGAAGAATGCTCTGATCACCTTGTGCTGTTCAATGATATCACTTTTGGAGTTGGCGTGCTGGAACTTGAGATTCGCGAGGACATATTTTTGAGCGTTCCTTCGCAATGTAGACTTGTGTCCATCCTCGGCCATTTCTTCCAACTGAGCCTTGTTCGGGGTCAGGAAGAATTCGATGCGTTTGAACGTCACGTGCCGCGCCTGGTAGACCTGGCGAGCGACAGCACCTCCGTCGAAGGTAACCATTTCCGTCAAGAGACGCAGGCAGGGAGAGATGAGATGCTCCTTTGATTTGACCGCAGTCAAGCCGCGGTTGAACAGCTTCAGCTGCTCCTTTTGCAAGAGATACTTGCATAATGCTACGCCGAAGTCCCGAAACTCCAGATTGGTGGAGATGGTCTTGAAGAATTGAGCGAGGACAGCAGGAACCGTGGTCAGTAACGACTCGTTGTTGTTGCTATCGGCAAACCCCCAGGTCTGGACCAGGTCCGGGAAGCAGACGGCCTCATTTTCATTAGTCTGCGAGAACTGCGAATCACAGTACGCTTTGAGAATGCGGAACTTTTTGGCTTTCTCGGCCTCGTTCTCTGCCTGCACGATAGAAGTGAGAAAGTCCTTGAATTTTCGTAGTCCTATTCAGGTTGTCAACATTCACGTTCCGCTGATCATTGGAGGTGAGGTACCTTGCTTAGATTCGGCAGGGTTTTGCTGAAAGGTCAGTGCAGTTCGGAGTTGAGTGTGAGAGGTAATGGTGACAGGAATTTCTTCGCCCTCCGGAGCACTGTCCAACTTTCTCCTCTTGTTTCTAGAGAATTGGTTGTCGTGGGATGACATTGTGATTTGATTTGGATGAATGCAAAGACGAAAGAAATCACCACCGGAACTGGAGAACTCGAAGATATCACTGCAGTAACTGCCAGAGAACTGCCTCTCCGTCGCCCGGCCGGCTTCAGAGTTTTGCGGCTTCTGATTGGACGGTAAATATGGCACTGAGAGCTGGAATTTAGACGGTACCTAGTAGATGAAATTCAACCCAACACTGTCAACGCAGTGCAGATTAGCATAGGTGGTAAGAGATTGTTGTTACCTTAGCAGGCAGTACTCCA